ACGTGCACAGCTCTCTCCAGTAGTGAATGCACTACCGCGCGATTTCTATAGGTGCATCGCACCTGATATGTTTACTAGTAATGTCTCGGAAGCTTACGAAATTTTAAGAAAAGCCATTCTTAAACGTGGATATCTAACCGACCGACAAAGGTTATATTAACTGTTTAATAACATCAATCTACAACATGACTCAGCAACAGAAATGTTGCTATGAATGCGAGGGGTCATTGGTCGACGGAACTTTGACGACGGCTTGTTTAGACAACGTTTCCTGTCTGAGCTTCCCCAACAGGTGCAGCCAGTGCTTGCTTTATTTCAAAACAACGCTGTAGACGAGCTGGTTGCATCTGCCGATCGAATTCCGGGGGCCGCCAGCACTCCCGATGCTGAGGTCTATTAAGTCAAAGAAAGGCCTCAAACGACACGAAATGTCGTCAGAGAATTCTGTCACATTCTAGCACGTTGCCATAATATTCTTCCTGACCGCAGACGCTCTCAAACTCTTCAAAGAGTTCTTTGCGAAAATGATCTGTCTCATGTGAGACAGGTAGCACTGATTGGTTCTTTTATCATAATCAGTACGGAAAATCTCGAAATTGAAGAAAACGATCCGTGATATACTGATAGCTTTTCAAATATAACTTCTAAACTCTTCACTTCTGGCTTTTGATTTGACTGGAGTAGCATGTTTTGACTATAAATGTATTACTGGTTAATGCGTTATTAAACTCTTAATACTTGTAGCATGATTATGTATTTCTCAACATAGATTTTGGTGGTTTTAACTTTAAAAATCATACATTTAAGTGAGCTTTCTGGATCGCATGAGAGTAGTGCATCTTTGTGCCACTGGCTACCTTCACAAAAATTTTGGCGACCTAAAGAATGAAACTTCGAAGACGATGTTTTTAAGTGCTACGTTGTAGCGTTTAGATGTTCGCTCAATCCCTTGTGAAGCTACACATAACTGTACCTTTTGTGCGTGAGGCTGATTCATCTTCTGGAATATGCTAGTTTTGTGGCTTATACATCTACCAAGAGAAGGCGATATTAATAACTCGGCGGGAGTTATAATCGTCTGAGGTAGATACATAATAATTAAAAACTTAAAGAAATCTAATACCTCCACTCAGTCTATTTCTGGCATAAAGGTATGACAAAGTGTTTAAAATCAGCCGAAATCGCGTCGAAAACGACAAAAACATAAGGGATGGGTCTCTATCGAAACCCTGGGCAAGACTCGGGAAAAGAAAAACAAAAAGACAGCATTTAACGACAGCCGATCATAGGCAGAGAAAGTTAAAGCACAAGCTGAGTACACAGAAGCAAACAAGCAAGTGGAGAAGATCATCAAAGCCGACAAGCAGAATCACGTGGAAGAACTAGTAACGACAGTGTAACTGGGTGCGAAAGAAGGGAATATAAGACAACTATGTGGTGCAACGAAGAAACTTGCAGGTAGATATAGTAAACTAGAGAGATCGGTCAAAGTCAAAGAAGGCAAGCCAATCTCCGAGATCCCAGAACAGAAGCACCGGTGTGTAGAGTACTTTGAAAAATTATTGAATAGACCAGCTCCAGTGAGTCTATTGGATATCGATGGACCGTCCCATAGATATCACTCCACCAACTTTCGAAGAAATCAAGATGACCATCAGACAAATGAAGAGGGGGTAGCAGCAGGACCTGAAATTATACGAACTGAAGCTCTGAAGTCAGACATAAAAGTAACTGCGAAAATGCCTCACCTATTCATGAGGATTTGGGAGGACGAACAAGTGACTATGAACCTGAAAGAAGGACACCTCAGCGAGTGCAAAAAGTAAACAGGCTTCACACCATTATCGGTACCAAGAAATGTTTTTAACAAAGTGTTGTTGAACTGGATGAAAGACTCAATAAACGCACAGCTTCAAGAGTAACAGGCTGTACTTGGTAAGGATTGTGTGCACACCGAATCACAACACTACGGAACAAAATTGAGTAATCGGTTGAGTGGAACTCGTCACTGTACGTCAAATTAATTGACTATAAGATGCCATTTGACAGTGTGGATTGGAGGACTTCACGGAAACTTCTTCAACACTATGTGTACCTGAAAAGACCGTTATCATCATACGGACTTCATACACTACAAAGTCGTGCATGGAGGACAGCTGACAGATACATTCTAAGTAAGGAACGGAGTCAGACAAGGCTGCTTACTCTCCTTCTTCCTTTCCTCCCGGAGGTCGACTGGGTTATGAAGACCGTGACATCGGAGAAGAAAGACGGAATACAATGTACAGCTCGGAATCAGTTAGACGATTTGGACTTCACAGATGACCTGACCCTTGTATCCTATAAACACGAATAAATGCGGATGAAGACAATCAGTGTAGCAACAGCCTATGAATCAGTAGGCCTCAACATACATAAAAGAAAAAGCAAGGTCCTCGAATACAACACAGAAGACATCAACACAATCATACTTGATAGAGAAACTTTAGAAGGCATCATCGATGAACGAGGAGGATCTGATGCAAACGTAAAGGCAAGGATTGGCAAAGCGAGGACAACATTCTCACAGTTGAAGAACATATGAATCTCAACTCATCTTTTAAACAATATCAACTTCAAACTCTTCAATACGAACGTCGAGTCATTCCTACTATGTGGAGCTGAAACGTGAAGTCCTACCACAACCATCTTCAAAAAAGTTCAAGTACTTATAAATAGTTGTCCACGCAAGACGGATACCACCAGCAACAACCTACTGTAGGAGAAGACAAACCAAGTTCCAGCTAAAGAGGAAATTCGGAAGAGGTGTGATAAATGGATAGGATATACATCACGGAAATCACCAAACTGAGTCATGAGGCAAGACCCAACTTGGAATACTGAAAGGGACCGGAGAAGTGGAAGACCAAAGAATACACTGAGTCAATAATTGGAAGCAGGCATCAAATGGTTTAGTGACAACTGTAAAGAAGTTGAAGGGCTTGCCGAGGACAGAGTTGGATGAACAATGTCAGTGGGCGGCCTATGCCCCACCACGAAAGGTGACAAGCGTTAGTAAGCAAGTATACTGGCATTTTGACGAGTTGCGAAACTTTGGTAGCCTCAACAACAGCGCAGTTTGCATGACTTTATGTGTATTATTTACACCGAAAAAGATTCACGCCATTATAGTAGCCATGAGTTGAAGGCTGTACACCCTATGTATGCAGCCTATGCTCTCCCTGATAAACACATGAGCAGTACAAAACTGTTTATCATGCAAAAATTGATTTAGCTGAAAGAATCGCAAGCACCGTGTCACCTATATTTGTGGTACACAAGCCTAGTTGATTTTTGCGCCTTATAATCACTCCATACAAATCGATTTCCATATTATCCCAAACTTGATACTTGCAAACGACTTGTATACACCATCAACCAGCATGTATGAACATATATAATTGGTCTACTGAACACTACAAACATGAGTCCGGTGTATGGCACTCAAGGATGTACACACGTTTAACGAATTACTGTCAGCTATCTGTTTGAAAGTCACATAATTATCAGTATTTTCACGTATTAAAAGAATCTTTCATAACAGTTCATATGTTTTAGTAGAACTGTTAAATCCAATCGCGACAAAATAGTAATGGTGCCCAGTAAACCTTGTCGCAACTAAATAAACTGTATCAAACTGGAACATTGTTCGTCTCCGCTGGTACACGTGTTTATACCGCTAATTAGAGAGCAGTGAATAGTCGATCGGACCAATGACGCACAAAGCCGTTACGAGCAGTCGAGAGTCTTTGCCGGTCCTGCTTCGCCCTGCCTGTTAAGTCCAGAACATCAATCTCAGCCTCTGCATTATGAATCATGTATTTCAAACATACTGGGTTGTATACGAACCAAACAGACCACATCGCACCACAAGACAGGAAAAAACATTTGTATAAGATCTAGCCAAACGTGCCTGTGAATTTGGGGAACTGTAATTAATAGACTGGGCATAACTCAAGAACGGTGAATCGTATAATAATAATCTATAGGTCAAAATAAAACTGTTGATAAGAGCAACATGAATATGCATAATTTAGCTACTTAATAATTATACAATAAAAATATATGCATTGTACTTTTCTGATAGGCATTTGTTATCCCCAATCTAAATATTGATAGGCAAGCTGTTCGGTACTCCGTGACTTGACTCCCGGATGATTCAGCTAGGGCCTAGTGATATTTCACTTGTCCCACGGAGTTAAACTTAAAATTTATATTTTCGATGAAACTAAGTTATAAGATGAGAAATACCAGCAGATAACAAAGAACAACTGTTGGTGTGATTTAATTGAGGGATACTGTTGTTAGTGCTCACCATAAGCAAAACCACTGTGATAAAAGAGGAACAAGTGGTTACAAGTTGGAAGGCACACTGCACCGCAGTTAGTGAACTGAGGATTACTAAGTAAACTTGCCAGATGAACATAATGTATACAATATTCCAAGATAAATTCGTGGTGAGTAACAGAGTTCCTTAGGCTAGCAGTGTCAGCATACTAGAACTTAATAATGTCCTTAGTACAGTTCAAAAGGTGCAGACAATAGACAAGCACAGGACAATGCAAACAGGCAATTAATGGAAATCAATGAGGAATGAAAGGGAGGACTTAGAAAAAAAAGCACAACGGTTAGCTCATTGTTCGCAGTGGCGAATCCTCTAAGTCTATGCCTCCTTATTTACCAGTCGCTAGTAGCTTCATAATAATTTTCCAAAACCCTTCGCACTCATCAATCATAGTGTAACGTTGTTTCGAATTTTACTTCATTGAAGTACGTCATATTAGTTAATCGAAACATTCCTAACACTGCTAGAGTAACTTTAAGCAAAGAGGACGTTTTTAGTTACTAGTAGGTGAGACATTTATCATTTTATCGAATATGTTAGTTCTGTGAACAAATGGGAATTTCTGCTTCTGAACTGTTTTAATTTACTAAGTATAATTTATACAATCTGACCTCATGAGTGTGATGAACTGAATTTTGTGGATCTATCGCGCAAAATACAGTGATGTCCGACAAAGATTTCCCCTTACAAAAGAATTTGCCTATCAGTGTAAGGGGCATTTTCCAATGTTTTTGATTATGTTATGTATATGTTATCTCGAGAGTATTTCATTATTTCAAAGCTGGTTACATTCGCTTCTATATTATCAGGGTAATGAAAGTTGCGAATAAAAAGTTTGATATTTGTAAATGTTCATTAAGTTACGCGTTTCTCATTCATTTTATTTGCTCGGAAATACTATACAAAACATTTTTGTTATTGTCAAGGTAATTTTTGGTGACTTCGATCGAAGTCTAATTATACTTAAGTCTTCGGAAGTATATATTCGTGGTAAAACCTGTGTTATGCAAATGTATAGTGCACACGGTTGATATCACGTAGCAAGACTTGGTGTCTAATTCTCATATAAATTATTCAAGAAAAAACCCAGGAATTATGGACATATACTGGAAAACTACTCACGTAACATATGTTTTATCTTGAAGAAAGCAATCCGAAAACCTCATGTGATATCAGATCCATTTTTATGACATTTTGTCTTCAGTGGGGTGAGTTGTTTGTGCGTGAACTAATGACAGTTAGACCAGTAGGCAATTGAATCATTGTGTGTATCTCTTAATAGGAGTTGTGTATTACACAGATTAGAAGTATTTTATCACCTCAACAACCCATGCATACGCAAAAGACTATTGATTGATGGAAAGAACAAAGTACAAGATGAAGCAGAACTCTCGTCCACATGCTCATGTAAAGAAATACGAGCCTGTCAAATTAGTTAGTAAGGAATTAGAAAACTGACGTTTTTAAAGAGTGAATTTCTTAAAATGCCTTCAATTCCTGACTGGAAACTTTAGGCTGACGGGAATCACTAAAACAATGGGGTTAAAGACTGATGTTGAAAACTAGTCAGATCATTTGCTCAAAAGAATTTTTCAGATGTAAATAATATTTTTTTAATAACTTTATCGTCACGTGACTTATACCATCTCGGTTTTAAACGAAAAACCGGCAGTAATTCGTTTGTGTAGTAGGTTGATCTGAATCTATAGAGCCTACTTATCCACTACGCAATGGCAAGAATATTAAGAGACGAGATTATACAATCGCCTCTTTATCTTGCTTGGATAACGAACAGGCGATGTTTCATGGCAAAATATGCATTAACGTGTGATTTATCAGTAAAAAATTCATACGTTGCTATCACTATGCAATGACTCATCTACCGGCTGTCGCTTTGGAAGTTTTGATATAAATTTATTTGATCCCTAAACTATTAAGTTAAAAAATAACGGTTTTAGAAGTTCAGTTTTACTTGAATTGAGAGCGGACATCCCACTATCATTAGTATTGAAACGTCATGGCGGTAGTAGTCATAAATCCCCATTTCTATGGAAGACTACCGACTTCATTTCAAACATCTAGTTTTTTGGTATTGAAGTGATGATAAGAGTATTACAATCATATTCTTTTCACCAAAAATCTATTTATTATGTGATGTATATTGTATCTTATTGTTAGTGAGAAACTTTTCGTACTCAATTAATTTTTGTCGTAATAGTTAATAGGTCATTGTTTTTAGATCACGCAAAGTTTAGGGAAGCTTTAACAAAGTGTTATGTTCCTCTTTGAAAGTGTATTCCACGTAACAATCCGAAGAAATTTGATGATCGCGACACTTCGTTAGCAATAAAACGATAAGAGCTTTTAAGACAGTCACAGAAAAGCATGAAACTATCGCTAAGTTATAATTCACACCATCAGTCAGAAGAATAGTATCTCATTTAGTGGTGAAGTAATACTTTCGTTTTTCAAGGCAATTTTCATTTTTTTCGGAAGCTTAATGAAAAGTGTGATTTTATAAGTATCAATTAGACTAGCATGCCAAAATTACGTTGACCTGTCAGTACTCTCTTCCCAGACAAGACTTATTATGATTCGTTTTTTGGACTGAACATGTTTTGTACGATAAAGCTGAAAAGTCAAATAATTCTTAATCTAATTAGTGTTATTTTATCACTTTCCCCTTAAAATGAACATAAATATAACATGACAAAACATGAACGAATTTCCCTGATCGTGAAGTAAATCACTACTACAATCATATTTTGTGCTTTTGAAAGGAAAATCAGGAGGCGATTTTTTAGATTTACCCAGGGTACATTATCTGAACATGCCTGGGTTTGTATTGTTCTCATTGTTTGAGTCCTATAACTTACATATCTCGTGCACAGCCAATTTATTCATCGCAAGCATGTGTTAGAAATGAGTACTCATAGGTAGTTATTACGAATGATGCAGTGCTATTCTGACTGAAAGCGTTTTTCTAACTAGCTTTGTCGTCCACTAGTTGGCTAATTCAGCTACTCAGTTCCGAGACTTGGAAAATGAGGACGTATGGGATTACACTGTCCAAGTCACTTTAACGCCTAAATCTAAGCATTGAGTTACTTCATGATTTTTCAACATCATTTAAATAAAAAACATAGACATGTTAATTATCACCACTCTAAGTAAATATAGTTACTTTAAAAAGCATTGGTAACGCACAGGAAACTTATTTAAGCTGTGAATCAAACTAAACTCTGTAAAACAGAATGAATTTCAATCTGCTGTTACTATTATTATTTCATTTGTTTTATTACCTCTTTATCTCGACCGAAGCTGCCATCTTGAGGCGGTGGTCGGGCTTGCCTATCGTGATGACCCAACCGAGCTAAATTGGCTGAAAAATATGTTCCTGTAGGTTCTACCATGCCAGGCAGGTCGATCGGAGAACAGTAAGACTAAAAGCAGCAACTCAAGGTCTGAGGGTGAAGTCGTACTGCTGACTGTAGAGGGATGTGACAGCAGTAAGGCGTTTCCCTCAGACAACCAGCATCTGCAGCGATGCTGCCTTCCCACAGGGAGGGGTGTGGTTAGAAAAGGTCGACCCTAAAAATGTCACACCTCACCTTACCTCACGGATTTCCGTCTCCGGTGGTAAAGCCCTTTGAAGAACGGAGCTAACACATTAAAAGCCTTCCACGAAAAGGCCGTGCGCAACCGGCCTCAAGCAGTTGTCTCTTGGGCTCTGCGGTCACGTTCCCAGGTCGGTAGGATCAACACTAATCCGAATTCCTTTTCAGGTTCCTCAGGAAGTACCTTTCCATGGTGTGGGCAGCCGGGAAGTGATATCAGCCCTCATACCCGTAACAGCACACGAGACCAAGTTGGTCACATTCAAATCCTTCCTACACTTCCTAATACCTCTCTTATCTCCACGACTAACCCTCCTCATGTCTTTTTATCACCTCGCACTGCTAGAGCAAACAATTCAAGTACGCGGAACGCTATTCCTGGTCTCCTGAAACCACGCTCTGAACTACACGTGGGAGCTTTTAACGTCCGAACACTGTGCCAAATAGGACAACAGGCCTCATTAGCTAGGACTTTAGAATCTCGCGCCATTGATGTGTGCTGCGTCTCCGAAACGCACATACAGAATCCCAGTAGCGTCATTCATTTCACCTCACCATGTCAAAATAAAGAACCAAGTCGATTCACACTTCGTGTATCTGAAAGCCCAGATGATGCTTCTCGTGGCCTCCCCGGCCTAGGTATAGCATTGAGTCCTAGGGCAGAACTAGCTCTCTTAGACTGGATCCCAGTAGACAGTCGTTTGTGTGCTGTCTCACCAAACGGAACAATTAGGACTCGGAAAGATAGAGATACTCGTCGTTGCCTCTTCGTCGTCTCTGCCTATTCTCCCAGTGACTGCAGCGCAGATGATGTAGAAGATGAGTTTTACAGAAAGCTCTCCGACCTTCTCCGAAAAGCTAGGCGCTCGGATGTAGTAATAGTGGCATAAGGAAAAACATCTTTTGACATGGAGACCCCCTAATTCGTCCCAACGTTGGACCCAAATAGATCACATCGCTATCATCCACCGATGGAGGGGCTCGATAGAAGACTGTCGCTCATTCTGGAGCACATGCCTAGATTCAGATCATGCTCTAGTACGAGCGCGTATCTGTCTGCGTCTTATTGGACGTAAGAAAGACGCTGCAAGTAAACCTCTTCGGGTCCTGCTTAATGATAGTCAAGCTAAGATTATATTTCAGGAACAACTAAGAAAACAGTTAGGCAGCCATGTATGTGATGCCCACCTCGAGGCAGCATGGAATGATGTCCGAAAAGCTGGGGAGACAGCAGTGAAATCTGCTAGTGCAGTAAACCACAAGGTTAGGGAGAAACACCGGATCTCAGCAGCATCTATCGCACTGATAGATGCTCGGAAACTCATTCCACCTGACTCTGAACATAATGAAGAGCGGAGTCAGCTTAAGCGCAAGCTGATAAGAAGCCTACTCAATGATCGTGAACAGTGGTGGGTAGCGAAAGCAAGAGAGATGGAAAAGGCAGCGGCAATAGGTAATAGCAGACAATTGTTCGGACTCGTTATGGAAACCGGTATTAGGAACCCGACTGTTAGCGAGACAATCTCAGAGAAAGATGGACATATTATACATTCTCAATCCAGGAGATTAGATCGATGGACAGAACACTTTAGGGATCAGTTCAACTGGCCTTCAGCCACACTTCGGTTTCCCACGATCTCCAGTCAACCTGAATGGGAAATTACTTTAGATCCTCCGACTCTTTACAAAGTTGAAAAAGCCATAGGAAATCTGAAGTGTGGGAGAGCAGCGGGCCCTGACAGGTTTACTCCTGAGATTTTCAAGAATGGCGGTCCAGTATTAGCAGTGGGATTGAATGGGGTCTTGGGTAAAATTTAGGAACTGGACGTAATCCCATCTGACTGGTCTCAATCACTGATTGTGTCAGTCTATAAGGAAGGACAAAAGTCCTCTTGTGACAATCACAGAGGAATCAGTTTGACTGATATAGTGTCTAAAATATTAGCTTCAATAACACTTCGACGCCTAACTAAAGCTCGTGAAGAGCAGACTAGAGAAAATCAGGCTGGTTTTCTACCTGGACATGGTTGTATAGGTCAGACATTCACACTACGTCAGGTTCTAGAACACAGATACAAATTCAGACGCTCC